ACCAAACATATCTCGAGATGAAGTTCTTCAGATCTCAAGAGCTCGAAAATTGGATCGACTGGTCCAATGTTAAGGAAGAAGATATTGAGCACGACAAAAGTTCTGAATCGCTTAACGCAAATTTTACTATTCATTATAACAGGAAATTTGTGCGGGATCCCACGACGACTGAGAAAATATTAGAGAGCGTAACAATACAACGTGATAAGCTGCATTATTGCACGATGAGTAAGTACGTCGTTGAAGAATTGTTTAATCTAAAAGATATAATCAACTATCGTTTGGATTTACTGGAATCGTACGCTCTGTCCTGTTTCTATCAGGATGTTATCGAACAGGTGATTAACTACCGTCATTTTCGTAAAATGGAGTTTGGTGACGAGGACGAGGGCGACGATGACAACATCTATCGCGATATTGAAGACGTATTAAACTATAAGTTTAACGTCAATTCTCACAATACAGTTTGCATGATGGAATTATTATACTATCGACCTACTTATTTTATGTATCACATATGTCAATAAACGTACTTTATTTGAGCATTTTTTTTATTTGATGGAGGATTTCCTATAAATATGGACACTTCTTGCCGCATTTCAACAATGTTGAATCGGAAGCGGAAGTGTACGGATGGGAGTGGCTTGGTTAATAATCTCATAAACAAACTTCCAGTTGAACTACATATTCCTGGTTATCAGTATTGCGGACCTGGTACTAAATTAGATAAAAGGCTAAAGCGAGACGATCCCGGAATAAATCCCCTAGACGCTCAGTGTAAAAAGAGCACGACATTGGCTATAGGAATAACCAAGACTTTGAAGGTCGACATCAAGCAGATCACCTTTTAGAGCGGAAAGCTTGGGAACGGTTAAAAGCTTCCGACGCGAAGTTAGGGGAACGAGCAGCCGCCAGAAATGGTATGTTTTTACAGCCAGTATCCAGTACAAATATTGGAGCATATTATAATTCCTGCGCCGCTACCACCGTCAAATACTCAAACGCAGCCGCCAGAAATGGTAGCTTTACATCCACAATCCGCGATGGGTGCATCAATTTCCGTAAGTTTACTCATTACTGTACCTCGGTTTATATGAAAATACTTATTCTAATGTTACGTTACAGAAATAATCCAGCTCAACAACAACCAAATTTACCACTACCTGTAAATAACGGCGGCAACAATCACTTTCAGTAAGTTACTTTTATTATACATACAATCTATTTTTAATACTGTGTTTTTCTTATTGTTACAGTGCCCCGTTGCCTAGGGGGGGAGAAGATATGCAATTACTAAGAGATTTTTATAAAAACGTCTCTCCGCCGTCTTCAGCAGCCATCGACCAAGAAGCGGCGCCACCACCACCACCGTCGCCATCTGATGGCACGAGCCGTCTACACCCCCCAAGAGCTGGCGAGGGTTATCCATGGGGTGTCTGAAGAAGATGCTGACAATTTTCCAGGCCAGACAAAGAAATTCCCAACTCCAGACGGAGCGTTTTGAACGGGAATTGACTGCATCACGGCTTCAAGATGAAAACCTGCATCGAGAGATGAAATTTATTATACTAATTTTTCTTTTTAAATTTAATTTCACATTTGTAATTGTAGGTACTTAATAAGTTAAACACTAATGTTATAATGTACCTAGTTTTATGTACAAAATACATGGATTATTTAATGCGATTGATATTAATTAATTTATGGTCTTATTCGGTAAAAACGAGGTAGCATAGTGATACTTTTATTATGTTAAAAATATCAGTCTTTAAAAACGGACTTAAGAGAATGTTAAACTTGAAGCAAATTTGTTAAGCGTCACGTAACATTCATACCATTAGCTTTAAAATGTAATTTTCGATCTAATGAACAGGTGCGTTATGGCAGTTGACGTTTTCTTACCGAGTTGTCGCGGTTTTTCATTTTATTTCAGTGAGTGTGTGTTCTACTAGTATCTTTAAAAATTAAAAGACCAGTTAGCTCAGGGAAATTAGTCAAATAAAGGGGTCAACCTCGGATTTTTTGGATATAAGCCATAAAGTTCAGTAAACCTTCATTTTGGTGTTCTAAGAGCTGTGTGAAAGTTATCGGGGTCAGACCCTTCGGCGTCGTAAGTTATTCGGGGTCAAAGGTCACGAAAATCAGTTTTTCGCGATTATCTCGGTTTTTATAGCTCCAATCGCATTTCCGTAAGAGGAGAAAGTTGTAGATAATTAAATTTGCCATCACTTTTGTATTTAACATTTTTTCGTAGGAGTTACCGTTCTTGAGATAGAGGGCGCAGAGTGCGCATACATGCTATAATTAAGGTCAAACTGTGAATCTGCTTGAATAATACATTGCATAAAGCTATTAAATCATTAAAACATCATTAACAATTAATAATTTTTAATAATAACTATTATTGTTATTAAATTATTACTATTTTTGATAAATATCCAATATGCTTATTGATTTATTAATACTTACCTATACGTTGTATATTAAACTCATGAAATACTTACCGTATATTTTAATAATTTATTCAAACTAGATTTAAAGTAGAAATAAAACAAGTAGGCAGGTGAATACATAGGCATATTTATTCACATAAAATCAATGTTGATGTCATCGTTATCGCCTGGCTCGTCATCGGGTACACCGGGGTCTCGAACTTCTAAAATTTCTTCCCATATGTTTTCTTCTTCGGGTTCTTCGCTGATTTCAACGGGAATCGCATTTAGGCAACCCTGACCATTGCACTGGCCACAAGCTGCTGTGCATTGCAGCCCGGATTTTCTGCATCCGCAGCGTGGACCACATCCGTTCCTGCAATTGCAGAAAATAGTGCTCATCAATTCATCTGGAGCTCGCGGTGATGTTGTTGTTATGGGCTCCAGAAATTCATTGTACAGGACCCAGCCCCAATCCTGCGGTTCTAAATCGTGCCCTAACCATTTCTGCACCTGACAATACACCCGATTTATGTGCTGATGGGCTGCTGCACTGGTCGGTGGAAGAATGGAGAGTGATACGGGTTTACTCAGTTTGGTTGACTTTAGAAACTGAACTTATCTTAGGTGGTCGATATTTTCCTCGGATTTTGGAGCATTGTATAAAGCCAGTAAAATGCGTACTCCGTTTGAATGTAAGTCTTCTGCAAGACAATTTTCTTGCAAAAACACTTTAGCGAGCTGATCAAAGGTGGCAAGTTTTTGCATGGACTTAATAAAAGTTTTCTTGCCTTTTTTAAATAACGCAGACGTTGTGTCACAGCCACTAAATGCGTGTATAAATAAAATATGTCTTTTCAAAATAGGATATTTGTCGAAACTTTTTCAAGAATAAATTTTAGTTTTGACATTGCCTCTCCCAACTTTTTTCAGGAAAATTTCATCTTCATATAATAGAGTACGTCCAATTAAAATAATCAGCAGATCTTCTCCAATGATAACGGCAGTCCTTCCAAGTTCGGATTCCTCTATGGCTGTTTCGACAATAAGGACATCAGCATCATCTCTGGCTTGTTTGGTTGAAATATTCACTTTCTCTAACTTTGCAATGAGCATACCAATAAGTTTATTTTTATTGTGTCGATTTGATAAAAACTTATCCTTACTGATTGGCACAATCATTCTTTCCTCGAAACTAATTTCGTATGACTTGGAAAGGGCGGCAGTTCTTCTTACTTGTTCCATCGCCTTGGTATTCCTAGTGTAGTCCAAGTATCCGTCGAATACCACAACAGTTTTTGGCCCAAAATGTCTTCGTAGATAATTGACATATTTATCTAAAACCATGCAAAAAGTATCGTCTTTACTCCATACGACGCGATGCAACAGAAATCCACCATCGACGATGCACGTCACATTATTTTCGTCAAGTATGACATCAGAAGGTGTCATATTATCGTATAGGGTGGCTTTCGTGGTTTTCCTCATACCATCATTATCAAATAATGAGGTTGGATATGGGCTCAATTCATATTTAAGGTATTCTTCCAGATTGCTTTCAAATTTTTTTGAGACAGTAATCCTTTGGAATAGTAGCAATGGGTCCACAGAGACTTTACAACCGTCGACGTTGACTGATTTATTGACAGCTGAGAGTGGTAGAACCTTATCGGCGCGTTTGAACTTGATTTCACTAAAGTTCAAGCCGGTAATTTTTGCCATGGATTGTAATCCTACTTCATGGGCTTTGTAACAATTAATTTGCTCATTTCCAATTATTCCAGAAGCAAGGGATACCAGTTGATTTGTGTTTGGGAAGGTGTCATGGAGTGTAAGCCATTCAAGTAGTTTACTTACATCAACGTCGTCTCTCCTAATTCTTGAATCTCTGGCATCAATGTGTTGGTCAGAAGAATCTAACGAAATGTTACAAAATTTCTCAATTTCTTCACAAATCGTGTTTGTAGCGTGCATAGAATATACCCACTTACACAAAACACTTTCTTGAGTACTCCGTCCCCGAGATATTCCCCCTTCTGTCTTCATAGACTTCATGAGACTTTGTTCAATAACCATATCAGTCCATGTGCCACAATTAAATTTTTCGGACCGTCTTACGGTGAAGAATCCATCCTTAAAGCTTTTAAAAGTTTGTTCGTCCATGGTGTTTTCCAATTTTAACATATCTTGGAGATATAAATGAGTTGACTTGGCGTATAAATAGTGCCCACTGGCATGAAAATACGGCAGCATTTTTCGCACTGCATCTAGATGTCCTTGGAAATCTCCCAGTTTTTCAGCGCGAATAAAGTCCATTGCTAACGACACCATTTGAAAATATTGGACCCATAACGTAGCTGTAGGACCTCGACTTTTTATTTCATTTAGTTTATCATTAAATTGACCAGTTAATGAGGACGAATTATTCACGCAACCTTCTACATCTTCATAGGAAACATTACGGGAAGCCATTTGTTCTAGCAACTCATCCAACACACAATCTTCCATCTTCATCTCTTTAAAAATTACCATTGATAATGCAAGTCGTAATAGTGAGTGAGCTCTGACACTTCTTGAATATGCGTGACCATTCAACATTTTGTCCACAGAATTAGGGGCATAAATTTTACTTAGGGCTTCCTTAAGACCACTTCCATCCATTACATATCCTATGCATCCAAGATATGACATGATCATATGAAAACCTCCCAGTTTAACAACTATTTTGGACATATCTGAATTAGCATCAGACGCAGATACCATTTCACGTGCTTTTGAATAAAGGGGTTGGTCAAAAGTTACTATACACGTTTTTTGTCCATGCGACTTGGCAATGTTCATGGTGCAATTTAAAGTAGTATAAATAGTGTCTAAATTGGTAGCAGGATTATTGATAAAGGGCTGTAAAATAACCCGAGAAGTTGAAAAATTTATGTTGAGTTTGGTTAACTGTTCAAGGTAGCCATTCCATCCTGGAATTGTTGAAATATTCCTCCACTTTCCGTAAAACCAAAATATATTAATTGCATCTAAGTTTGTTTCTGCAGTTAGTGCTAGATCATCATGCAAATTTTCCGCTTGAATCTTGGTAAATCCAGACACAAGTGGTTTTTCATATGCTAGAAGAGGAACATGGGATATTGCTGCCAAATCTTTTGCACTTAGTTTAGTGGTACATTTTTTTATGCGTTCATTGTAAATTATAGCTTCTTTGGGTGTAACGATCTTAATCAGTCCCATAACATGGAGAGTATTATATCCATCCAAAGTTTGAACATTTATGTCGGCATTGTCTCCAACATATTGAACTAGCGCACCTGATAACTCTGATGGTAAAATGCGAGGTTGTGGATGGCAAACTGCAGAAAATTCATACCGAACAGCATTTTTATAGGAAGCTGCAAAACCCAAGCTGGATAAAACATCTAGTAATCTTTTAGATCCAAATCTTCTGTGCAGAAATACCGAAAGCCCCAAAAGTAGCTGAGATGAAAATGACCGTTCTCGTATCGCAGCCATTATTGCATGGCTTATCGAAGTGCATTTCGTTTTTAAATGATCTATCCTTCCTTTTTTGTTTTTTAATATGACTTCGTTCAAAAAATGTAATAATGTTTTTGGTATTTCTTGGTTAATATCATCCAACATTCGACTTGGAGGAGGATACGAATTGGTTTCGACTATCGCTGCTCGGATATCTTCCCTAACAATGGCTGCTGCAGCTTCGACAATCCTCAATCTTTCTTCTTCCGCATTATTTTTTTTATCTTGGTACCAAGTTTTTGTTAGCAAAAGGTGTGTGTCACGAAAACATATTATTGTAAATGATCCTATTTTTGGGGTAATTATTATGTTAGTCATATATTTTTGCTGTAGTTTTGCTAGAATGGTCTTGTCATCTGGTACATACTCCGTAAGGACATCTTTGAGCTCTTTTAGGGTGAATTGCGAATCCTCATGATTTTCTATATAGCAAAAAATTTTCTCCATTGCTTGAGTGAGCAGATTATCGCGAGCAGGTTTACTCTCTGGTGCTTGTTTGAAAAATAAATTATGGCAATGGGCATGGTACTTTGCTTCAGCTGCGACCAAATCATACTCACATAGTACCCGATGTTTCACTATTTCTCCCATGGAATCCTTCCGCTCTTCTG